AAAATGTAATGGCGTAAGCGAATGCAGACAGATTGTCAAAATATAGACAGCTTTAATGGAGGAATAGACTTATAGAACCACCGTTCCCGCAGAGACCAGGAAAGCAGAAGCGAGCGCTGGGAGCAAACTCGCCAAATTTATAGGAAAACTTTAGCCTGAGGTGAACACGCCCCCTAAGGGGTGGGACTTATCCCTACACTCCACCTCCCAAGTGTTGGGATTTCAGTCATTCATCCCCATGTGTGGTTAGGCAGTGCTATGGGTGGAACCTGGGGCTTCATGCATGCTAGGCAAGCATTCTACTAAGTGAGCAACATCTCTAACCCATTGCATAGATCTTTGTTTTAATACATTTGCTATATGTTTTTATGTTGCTTTTCTCATGTTAACCTGTCTTGTAGGTGTGTCAGTCACGACCATAATTATAGGAAGAATAATCTCCTGTCTTTCTGTTCCAATAGTGGCGATCAGTCAGATACAGGAATGGTGCTCGTGTGTGGTACGTCTCATGCTGTGACATTTTACAAATGGTGCCTAAGCTTTACCTTTCTGTTCACCATTGTCTACAGCTAGTGCGACGAGGCCGCCCTGTCTCTGAAAGATATGTTCCGAAACCAGAGCTGGCACAGTTGACTTTACATGTATAAGATACATGACTGATATTTTAAGTTGCTGGTAACTAAGAAAGAGTATATACACACATCATCATCTTTGGGTTTTCTGAGACAGAGCTTCTCTCTGTGTAGCCCTGACTGTCTTAGGACTCTCTTTGTTGATCAGGCTGGCCTTGAACTCAGAGAACTGCCTCCAAAGTGCTGGGATTAAAGACATGTACCACCACTGCCTGGCGACAATTTTATTATTTTTAAAACACTACTACTACTATTATTATTATTTACGGTATGTGTACATGTCTGCATATGAGGACAGGAGATCCTGTCAGATCCACTGGGGCTGGAGTTACAGACAATTGGGATCTGCTTGACATGAGTGATGGGAATCAAACTTGGGTCCTCTGCAAGAGCAGCATGTGCTCTAACCACCTCTCCAGCCCCTACAATTTTATTCTCAGAGGATAAGAAAGAAGTACAAATCAACTCGGAGATGTGTCCAGGTCATTGCTGGTGAGTTATCACAAACTCTTGTCAAGGACTCCTTAAGTGCAAAGTATAGGAGATAAGCCTTGTTGTACTTGAAGCCTTCCTAGGAAGCTAGGTCTGGCTTTAGCAGTTTTCAATGTACTTTCAGATTCAGATAGTATGTGTATGTGTGTGTACATGCATCTGTGGATGTAGTTTAATCAGAAGTCTTTTCTTGGGAATGCTGTACACCTCGAGATGGAGTCTCTCATTGGCCTAGAACTCATCAAGCAGGGTATATTGGCTGGCTAGTGAGCCCTAGGGATGTTCTCATCCCTGTTTCTGAAGTGCTAGGATTAAAAGTATGTGTTACCATGCCCGTTTATTTTACAAGGATTCTGGGGAATCAAACTCAGGTCCTCATATTTGTATGGCATACAGTTTGTTAAAATGAACTCTCTCCCTAGATCCCTGAGAAAGCTTTAAATTTTTAATTAATTGGTTAATCAGTTATTTGCTTAATGTGTGCTTCAATACAAAGGAAGAGAAAACATGCTGTATAATCTGGGCCTGATGGCTACTGGTTGCCTAGGGGTCTAGAGAGGGCATTTGTATGGTCTCAGATTCCTTGGTTTGTATAAACCCCACACTGCTATTGGGACTGTACTAATGGATCAATGCTCACAGCTAGGGAGCCCAAACATCTAACTAGTTACTACAGTTCTTTCCTAATGAAGGGTTTTGTTGGGATGAGAACATTCTATTGAGCCAAGTGGCTTTGTGCAGAGGACAAAGATTGGTATGGTGTGACCTCAGGAAGTGGTGAGGTGTGTGGAGCAGTTCTTCTAACTTGGAGAATTTCTGTTGCCCTGTGGAAACTCTTATTTGATACTGCCTGGGCCTGTGGCTTTATAAGGAATGCCAGAACACTTGATAATTTTGCTTTGTTTTTGATGTGCAGTCTCCTAGTTGTAGAAACGTAGTGTGGGCCAGACAAAACACATCTTGGCCCACAGGCTGTGGGTTTGCAATCTTTGGATGAGATTCTGTAGCTCTGGCTGTGCGTTCTGTTGTATGAAAATGCCTTACTCCCTCTCCTCCCTGTTTCTATCAGGTTTACTAGAAAGCAGCACCCGGCTGAAACCCCATGAAGCCCAGAACTACAGGAAGAAGGCATTGTGGGTATCCTGGTTCTCCATTATTGTCACCCTGGCCCTGGCAGTGGCTGCCTTCAGTGAGTATCAGGAAGTCTCGCCAATCAATACTCGCAGTTGCCTGTCTTTCCCTCTAACCCCCGTGGGATGTGCTTTGCTTTTAGTTGACTGTTATTGATGAGTAAAATTTTTTTTAGATGGTTGGATAATCAGGGTACTCATGAATTAGTAAAACGGCTTCACTCTTCTGCAGAGGGAAGAGGTATGAGAAAGAAGCGGAGGGGAATAACTGAGAGCTTCGGTCTCATCAGTATGCAGGCTTGTGGAAGTGGATTCTGGCTGGCACCAGGCGAATAGTGAAAATAGTCTCTTGGCAGATGCCTTCAGCTCGGGCTGACATGACAAATACGCATCCCGGAGATTTGGATTTTGAGCCTAATGCAACTCGATGAGTGCAGTATTGCAGGAAGCTCTCTCCTTTCCCTCTTGACTGGGGCTTGTGCAAGGTCAGGAGTGAAATCACATGTATGATTTTAATGAAAGAAACATGGAAAGGCCTTCTTTCAGGGTTTTAGGGCATGAAAAGAAAATAATTTCCTACAATTCTGAGATGCCATGAGAACGGAACAACTTCTGTCTATAGATGATTTTTGTGTGGGAATCTGGAATTTCTATGGTGGGTTTTCTCCACTGAGACGCATGTGCTATTTATTCTTATTAAGTGTGCAATGATTCACAAGTTTAAGCCCTGAGCTACAGCTCAACCTTGATAAAAATTGTGATTTTTTTTTTATTTTTATTTTTGGATTCTGTCTCTTTTTTTTAAATGGTGGGAACAAGGCACTGTGTTTAAAATTTTGTGATGGAGGGAAAGATCTGTGCTCGATGTGCTAAGCATCCCACAAGGTGCTTCAGGGGAGGAGGGAAAAGACCGTGGTCATTAGGCCGTGTGGCTGTTTGCAAGTTGTTTAAAATTCTCTTCTGCTGCCTTTGATGCTTCTGCTAGAAGTTGGGGCTGGATCCCAAGGGGGCAGGAATTAGAATTTGACCAAATGCTCCCTTCAAAACTCAGCATATATTATTAGACACAATTTATACTGGAAATAGTGTACAATAGCCTGGCTCTAAAATAACCAAATATTCAGAATACCGAAATAATATATTTCAGGGAATAAACATTTATCAGTGAGCCAGAAATCTAATCAGGAAGAACTCTGATTTTTTGAAAGTATAATAAATAGCTTCTCTTTCCCCTTGCCTTCTCTTTTTTAATACTGAGACCAAAATAACAAGGCAATGGATGTCCCTCGAGGGCAATTTGGTTGTTGTGGCTGGTAGGGGCACGGGAGATCAGACATGGTAATTTACATATGTGAAGAAGGAGGAATGAAATGAGGGGGGGGGTGATTTACAGGCAGAATAATGGCTCCTTAGGCGTGTCCCCGTGCCCTATAAAGCTGTTAGGGCAGCAGCCTCCTCCGAGTGTTTGAATAAGGACTAGAGTATGGGGTTGTGAATGCGTCTTCCTTTTGGAATAACAATGTTGCGTTTCATGTGCTTAAGCCATGTAATAGAGAAGGAATAGGAGGAAAACTCAGCTTCACTTGTAATACCCAGTCAGGAGAATTATTCTAGAAACGTTCCATTACTTTTGATGGAAAAAGTCTCCATGAGGCCAGGCCACAAGCTTAGGAAGAGTTTCTTTTTGAGAGCCATGGTACTTCTTTATCGTAGAATTATTTAACTTAAATCCTTTAACTTCCCTTTTAAAGATTCATGTTTACTGGTTACCTATGTGTACGCACGTGATTGCCCGTGTATGTTCTGTACATCCTAGGAGGCCCGAAGAGGGTGTGGAACCCCCTGCAGATGGAGTTCTGGCCTGTTGTGGGACAGGGATATTTGGGGCTGAGCTCAGCTCCTTTGCAAGAGCAGCGAGTGTTCTTAACCGCCGGCCATCTCTCCAGTCTCTTTAACTTCTTGCCTCTAAGATGTGGATGCTGTTGTGCTGTCTATTATGATCTGTTATGTTCTATAAGCCTTTCATTTCACTTGTGAGCTACTTCTAACTGCTTCTGGTTTAATTAAACCCTAAAGCATAGACGATAAATCATATTTTGCCCCATTTAAACTACAGTGACTTCAGTGCCTGTGTGTGTGTGCATGTGTGAACAAGTGCGTGTGTAGGGGTATATGCTTATGCATGCTGCAAGTCCTTGCAATTTCCATCACAGCCCTCCACTGTACTCGAAGCTACCCTTAGCTTCATATGTGGGTGCTGGGGATTCAAACTCAGGTCCTCATACTCACACAGCAAGCACCTTGTTGACTGAGCCATCTCCACTTTGAACTCGATTTATAATTCTTGGTGAGATAATGATTTGGATCAGCTGGAGCATCTATATGAAACTATGGTAATGCATTTTGGAATATTTCAGAGGGAAGTCCTAGTTTGGTTTTAAAATAGATTCAGCATATAATGGGTAGGCAGTGTAGAAAATAGCAGCACTCTTCTTATGAACGAATGTGAAAACAGGTCTGCTGTAATAATGAGGCCAGAGAGAGGATAAAAGTTCAGCTTCAAAACTCAGAGTTCTGCCAACATTGATGTCTTTGTTAAGATGATCGAAGAAAATGTATTCTGACTTTGGTTTTAAGACTTGAGTACGTTAATTTTTAGGGGCTGGATACTTGCTTGGTTCTATGGGAAATGAAGATATGTTGGAAACAGTATCAAGGGGAAAAAATCATTTTCTAAGGTGGTGTCTTAGTTTCTTTTTGCTGATGCAATCAAATACTCTGACCAAAGCAATTTAAGGGAGAAAGGGCTATTTTGGCTGCTGGTTCCAGGGTATGGTCCATCATGGGGGTGAAGTCATGATGTCAGGAGCTTAGGGTAGCTGATCTTGTTGCATCCAAAGTCAACATTCGAGGCCACGCCAAGATTCCTGCTTAGTTCCTTTTCTCCAATTTATTCAGTGTAGAGTCCCTACTGAGGGAATGATGGCGCCCACAGTGGGCAGGTCTTCCCACTTCAATTAACAAAATCAAGATAATCCCTCACAGGCAAGTCCAGAGGTTGGCCTCCCAGGTGAATCTAGATTCTCTCAAGTTGACAATTAATTAACACCAACCACACAGCAGATACATAGCTCCATTAAAACAACATAGCAACCTCAAACTAAATAACAAAGTCCCTTAAACCAAAAGTACTCCAAACCAAGATCTCAGAACCTGAATCTGACCCCCCAGGAGCCATGTTAAAAAAACAAACAAGCAATTTGGGTATGGTGGTGCACACTGGTTGGGGAGGTGGAAGCAAGGAGACTCTTGGGGTGCCTTGGCTGACCAGCCTAGTCTAATTGGTGAGCTTCAGGCTAGTGAAAGACTTTGTCACAAAAACCAAAATGGAGCCAGGCAGTGGTGCATCCTTTTAATCCCAGCTTTTGGGGGGCAGAGGAAAGTGAATCTCTGTGAGTTTGCATTTAGTCTGATCTACACAGGCCAGCCAAAGCTACATAGTGAGACCCTTATCTCAAAAAACACAAACAGGTGCTTGGGTAATGACATCTGAGGTTGTTCTGTGTTCTCCACACACAGGCACATATGTGCCTCTACACACATGTGCAAAATCACACATACAGGCACATACAACATGGAAGTGCATTAGGTGACTTCAGAACTAGGAAAGCAAACCTCTGAAAGGAGTGGTTTCTTTTTTTATATATGGGGATTTTTTTTTTAAAAAAAAATTGTGCTTGCATATATGTCTGTGTACCATGTGCATGCCTGGGGCCCAAGGCCAGAAGAAGGTATTAGATCCCTTGGAGCTAGAGTTACAGAGAGTTGTGAGCTACCATGTGGGTTTTGGGAATTGAACCCCACTCTTAATCGCTAAGCTGTCTCTCCAGCACCCCAGTTGTGGGAATTTTAATATTTGATTTAGTTTAAATTTTTGACCTTTAAGCATGATAATATAATGTGTATGCATTCTTTTAGAAAGCTTTTCCATTTACTGTATCATTTTTTATGCATGTGTGTGCCACGTGTGGAAGCCGGAGGGCAACTTTCAGATGTCCATTCTCTCCTCTCACCATGTGGGTCCGAGGAACTGAACCCAGGTCCGCAGGCCTGGTGGCAAGTCCCGCATCAGCTGAGCCGTCTTGAAGCCCACATCCTTTTTATTTCTATACTCTAAGGGTAACAGAAGTGAGATAGATAAGGTAAGATCACATGACTTGTCTGCATTAGTAGAGAAGTCTGGGGACTTCCCAAGGTGTCCCCTGACCTCAGTGGATACATGGTCAGATAGAGAAGGAACAAGGTGACTTCCAGGACAGGTGACACACATCCGAATTCCTAGCACCTTGAGGCTGAAGCAGGAGGATTGAAAGTTTGAGGTCAGCTTATGCTATGTAAGGGAGACCTTGTATCAACAACGATAAAGAAAGAAAGGAAGGAAGAAAGAAAGAAAGAGAGAGAGAGAGAAAAGGAAAGAAAGAAAGAAGATGACTGAGAGTCCCCAGGGGACTTCCTGGGTTCTAAGAGTAAAATCTGAGTGTTTAGAGTGGTATTTACTTATTTATTTATACTTAGTTATTGTTTTATGAGTCAGGGATTTATTGTTAGCCCTGGCTGTCCTGGAACTAGCTCTGCAGACCAGGCTGGCCTTGAACTCACAGAGATCCTCCTGCCTCTGCTCCAACCTGGCCAGACCTGACCCTTTCAACTTCAGCAGGACTGGAGTCACATTCTTTGCTCTGGCTTGGACTCATAGGACAGACTGCTTCTCACAGACTCCTGGGTCACGTGGCCTCACCACCTAGAAGAGGCGTATGATGGCCTGGCAGGAGTGAAGATGATCTAAGGAGAATCTGCACCTCTCTTCTTTGGTTATCAGATTATTGAAATCATGCACCCCAAGAAACTGGAATTTGTCCAGGAATCTCCTGCTAGAGAAGGAAAGAGCTGGAGTCTAGTGCCAGCCAGAGGAGAGGCTTGTTCCCTAGAAGGAGATTTCTTTCACACAGTTCTGGTGACAGACAGGTCAGGCCATGTTGTAGGGGAGGCTGGAGCTCAG